TATTACTTTTATATATAAGTAAAGTTGAGTTTGTTATTGTTTTATCCTTAACGAGATAAGTTGTTTATACTGTTTTACAAGCTTTATATATTGCATGTGTCTTATTGCTTTATATATTGAGTTCAATTATTCATGAGTCGTACAGAGCCAAGGTAAGTGTTCTCTCGTACTCCTTTCAAGCTTAACTTGTGGTTTAGCTTTCCAGCTCGCTTACTCGTACATTCCATGTACTGATGCCAGTTGACCTGCATCTTATTATGATGCAGACGCAGGTACCCATGAGTAGCATCCAGCACGCTGTTGATCCAGTTGAGCTCTCTAGAGTCGGTGGTGAGCCTCTTTGCTTTCCGGAGGACTCAGATATTTTGTTCTCTTAGTTTTGTTTTATTAGGATGTTGCGGGGTCTGTCCCAACATCCATCTCAGTATTATAGAGGCTTCATAGACAGTCAGTCAGTTAGTTTTGTGTCTCTCGTCTATGTATATATATAAGTATTCTATTTTTGAGACTCGAGTTGCCTTTTTGGCCAGATTTTATCAGTTAAGTTGTTTATGTCTTTGCATGGCATGGAGTTATTCTGTTGAGTCAGGTTTCCGCTGAGTTAAGAAAGTCAGGCCAAGGGTTCGCTTGGGGCTAGCAATGGTCTCCGGGTGCCAGTCCCGCCGAGGGTGTAGGCTTGGGGCGTGACAGAAACAATGTGCTTGCTTTTGCTATGAGTTTTTAAAATGATTTTTTCGTCACATATTTTAATCTTTCATTAATTCTTTTTCGCAGTGCTACTTTCAATAAAGGTTCTTTTAGTTCTCTCCATCATCTCAAGCCTCACCATTTCAGGTAAGTCTTCTCTCAATTTTCGTCCTTTTCTTTCTCTGATTATGTCAAATATCTCAATTTTATGGTTTATATCCACATATGATGTCATAATTACTCTGATTTCTTTATAAAAAAATAGCTAATATGTTTCATGTTTTATTGTTTACAACTTCTATTTCTGTCGACTCAAATCAGCTGAAGTATTTTATTATTTTTTGGTTATTAGTTGTGTTATATTTGAATGATATATAGTTTGCAAAAAAATGATGATGTTAATGTAATTGTTACTACCTCTTAGGCATTTAAAAAAAAAAAAGATATATAGTTTGCACAGACACAAGAAGTGATACTTTTGGTATGACTCACAATTTTGGAACCATCTTTTCAGGACAGTTCTTTTGAGTTCTCTTCATCTTCTCATCTAAGTGTTGCGATTTCAGGTTAGATTTTCTCTCAATTTTTGTCCTAATCTTCTCCCGGTTATCATTAGATTTTCCAATTTGATGGCTTATATTCACATTCACAGTTGCTATCATAATTATTTTGATTTTTTTTACAAATAACTAAAATGTTTCAGTGAGGCTTTCTATTTAATTATTTACAACTTCAGTACTTTTATCTTTAATTATTTTTGGTATACTGTTGGCCTGAGATAACTTGTTTGGGACTAAGACGTAGTAATTGACGTGGATAACTGCAACACTGCTAAGAGAGTAAACACATCTCATTTTCTTTGCTTATAGCCAAAACATAAACCTACCACGCAATATAAATTCATACAATGCATCCAAACAATATTTGGTATTTTGTTCAAAGTTTTAGCAGCAAAAACAGAGACATGATGTAAAATCAAAAAGAACAAACACAATAAGTAAAAGAAATTTCCAAGAATCATCCAAGCCAAATCAATAGGTTAGATAAATTAGTACTATGAAGTAGATGGATCATTATATATATATATATATATATATATATATATAATGATCCATCTACTTCATAGTACTAATTTATCTAACCTATTGATTTGGCTTGGATGATTCTTGGAAATTTCTTTTACTTATTGTGTTTGTTCTTTTTGATTTTACATCATGTCTCTGTTTTTGCTGCTAAAACTTTGAACAAAATACCAAATATTGTTTGGATGCATTGTATGAATTTATATTGCGTGGTAGGTTTATGTTTTGGCTATAAGCAAAGAAAATGAGATGTGTTTAACTATTAAAATCACATCTGATTTTCCTTTCCTATTGAAAATTTATCTTGGACAAGAGTTGGCAGAATATTCAATTGGATAATGTCTGTATGAATTAGAGAAGGATTGTGATTCAACTTTATCATGACAAATTAATTTATAGGAATTGATTCCATTCGCTTTTAAATTGCACAATCTAATTGCTAATAGAACTCTCCTCTCTACGATGAATGGGAAGGCACAAATGACCTTCCGTACAAGCTTAGCCTTTAGTTATGTTCCTTCAAGTTATGTAAAATGTAATCTAATGTGAATTACATATGTATGATTTACTATAACCTCCTTACAGGTCTTTCACAGTTGCTAGATCTCACTACTCCCTTGGAAGCAGAACCTACATCACAAGCTCTCCTTTGTGGAATTAATCTGTAGGAAGAGGATTCCTGCATTGTAAATTTTGATCCTTAAGTACAGTTCTTTCTTCCTTTTCCCCATTTTCGCTGCCATTTCAACTTCCTCTTTTTTTTCTCCTGTTAAATAACTTTTTTTTATTTTTGTTCATTTCCCTTAAACGGAGTTTTTTCTGAATTCTTAACCCAGATTCAAGTTTCCTTTACCGTTCTTCCGAATCAGTCAGTGTCATCGATTCAGCTATAAACATAAATACCCAATCGATTATCTATAACCATATTCGAGATCTGAAACAAACCAATAGCTAAGATATTATCATCAATGGAGACTCGAACGATTATGATCACCAACTAAAAGCTGCCTATTAAATTTTTATTATCAAGTCAGATTTAGCTGTCAATCACCAAAAAATCCCAAAATTGGAAATCAAAATTTGGAACCAAGCATCAACAATGGTGGATTTCAAAGCTTTCCACCAAAAAGTATTTCAATTCAGTATGAAAATTTCAAATTCCAACCTCAAAAGACCATACCAAATAAGATCTCCATATTCCAAATTCATTATCAGAGGTTCCAACATTTTGTAGTCTTGAAATGCCTACCGACACGAAGTTTTTCTGGTTAGTTGTTGTTGAGTTCCTTTCTAAGGTACACTTATTTAGCTATGCATAAGTTTGAGAGTGTTTATATTAGATACATTTAGTGTTCCCTTAAGAACCTAATAATAATATAAATGTACTAATATTACTGTAATTAATTTTCCTACATTGAACATCGATAATTTATGTTATATCTTATAATTAAGCAATACCTTACAATATCCTTATAATTGAAAGCAATTTTGGAGTTAAAACTATAAGATACATAATAACATAACTTCATCCAACTTTAACCATTACAAGCAAAATTATTACTCAAATTCTTTTGTATGAGAGAAGAAAATTAGAATTTCATTTAATCCTCTTCATAAATGAGATAACTAAGCTTGAATTTGGTGTTCTTTATAATTACAACAACAACAGAAAAACCCAATGAATAGTGAATCTCGATTTAGAAGATTAGAGTGCACGTAGACCCTATTCCTACCTCGAATTCTTTATAATTCACAAGACTTATTAATACAATTTATAGGAGCTATGGTTCGTCAATGAAGTACAAAGGATAAGCTAGCCTTCGACCAATTATCACAAATAATGTCATAATTTTCAACTATTTGGCCTGATTTACTGTATGATAGGAATATTTGTGCCTTCTCATCGAGCTTTTGGCATGTAGTTGCTGCAAGTTTCTCCTTTCCATTCTCTTTCTTTCTTTCATATTTTGGCATTCAGGTATTGTATCTTGGTAGTTGCTCTCTATCAAATTGTGACCCCCCTTAAGCTCTCTAAATGTCCACAATGTTCTATTTCTACTAACCATATTGCCTCCTTCAAAAACATTTCTTTTGAAGGTTAATATGACTCAATATGGTTTCCATTTCTCCCTTCTCTTCTCGATCATGCATTTACATCCTCGGTTTAAAAACTTTAATGTTAAATTATTATGCATAAAAAGTTATTTTGAATTCCATATGATTCTTGCTTATTTCGACTTGTTATACGAGTAGACATATAGTACAGTGCGACCTAGCCACCTGAAATTATGAGGAGGTGTGAATTGTAAAAAGATGTTGTGTTTACAGATTTTATATTCAGACAATTGCAACAAAATTGTGCTAGGAAAAGATGATGTTAACAAAATTTATATAGGAGGCATAGTGTGCCAACGTTATGAGCACTTGTCTAATATTTCGTTTAATTATATTGTGCACAAAAAGAGAATGAACCAAAGTTTTTAAAAATATATAATAAGTTGTGATATGACTATTGTTGATGGTCTTTGGCAGTATGAATTGTTTCCCTTCTCACATTAGAGATGATCCAATACTTTCCAAAGACTCCACATCAAAGATGAGGATTATATGGATAGCTTAACATCAATTCCACTAGGAGGACTATGTTCCTGTTATTTTTGCACAAGATGTAATTTCCAGTGATATGCTAAGGAAAAAGGAATGGTAAGATTGACACTAAGTAGTAAGTACTAATTAGTAAATTATTGTGCCAAGCATTATTTTGATGGCTGATCTGGAAACCATTGTGCATTCTCATGTTCAACTATGCATTTTAATTATTTTTATTAATCAAATTGTTATTTTCTGCTATTTCTTCCTGTTTTGTTTTCCATGTGGGTTATAATCCTGTTGCATACATTAATTTGTTATTTTGATGTTTGTTCTGTTTCTATGTGGGTTTGGTCTTTTTTAATTGTGAGTAATATAGCATATGATCTTTTCAGCAAATTTTGAACTTATATTTTCAAAGTTTGTCCACTCAAGCATTGTCTATGATCAGATTGTGTTTTTGTTATCCTTTCCCATAGTATAAGTAGTTAAAAATTTAAGATCGGGTGAACCGTGAATTGCAGGAAGGAAAGTTCCATTGAGCTTGCATGTGGAGTAAAATGTTCATCATGCCATATGGCATGAAGGTAATGGAACAAAAAACATTGTGAACTATACCAAGGTAAATCATCCTTTCTTGAGTTATCTCTATCTTAGTCTAAACATTTTTTCATTTGTTTGGCTTATTAATGTAGGTTGTAATAATGATGAGGAATGCGAATCGGAAAATCCAAAGATATATAAAAAGGTCCTTCTAATATATCTCAAGTGAAGTGTACTTTCAACTCCAATAGCATAATATCATTGGTATCAGTCCATGCCCAATGGTATTTGAAGCCTTATCAGGCTAACTGTCTTTCATTCGCGCATATCTGATATTTAGGCACGTAGAAACAGTGACTGTTTGTGGTTTTAGGTGAGAACTTCACTTTTCTTTAAATTTGATGATTAATTGTTATAATTTTTTGTAATGCGCAAGTAACAGATTAAATATATTTACCAAGTGTAAGAATAAATGTTGCTTTAATACATGAAAGCTAAATTCGTCGGGCTCGTGCTTAGCACGGGCATATTCTATCTAGTTTCTATTATATAGAAATGTGTGAGAGGACAACCAGGGGCAAATAGGTAAATTTACAGTAACAATTCACTCTGTCGGTAGTTCTAGAATCATTTGTCATCAGTTTTCACACTCCAAATGCAAAATTTCAACTCACTCTATGCCCAATCATATTTCTAGAAGCATCACGTCTTCCCTCCCTCTTGTTCCAATAACGATGAATGGATTCGCAAGTCTTCATAGTTCCAGGTATGTTCTTCTTCAAATTTCGCAGCAATCTCTCAATTTTATGGCTGATGTGTAAGCTTAGGTTGTTCTCTCCCAAACATCGTAATCTGAATTCAGTTACTCTGTACTCTTAGCTCTAAGTTCTCTCTCTCATTCCTTCTCTGTATTAGAATGTCGACAATATCGCGATTCCTTATAGAAGAGATAGGCAATTGTTAAAATCATAGTTATTATGCCCTTCGGACAGATATTGAAATTAAATTACTGGGATCGGTAACTAATGCTTTGAGGGCTCATCTTCTTCTCACTTTGTGCAAATCTTGCACACTGAAATCTAACTGAAAAACTTATGTGAGCTTATTCATTTATTTTTACACACTTTCCTTTACAGTTGCTCATAGAAGAAGTTTCAATGTAAAGTAAAGAGTAAAGAGTTGAGTTCATTTTCTCAAAAGTTATTAGGGAACTAAGTATTTCCCAAAGAAGTTGATAAATGTTTTCACATTTGAGTAAAGAAAGGGGACATTGATTCCAAAAGAGCCTTTGGGCTAAGCTTTGAGTAATTATCTCAAACTAAAGAAAGAAGTTGTTTTAAAAGCATGAGCCAAAGTATTTTTGGGAGTAGTATTGAGCACCGAATTGGGGACACGAGTTCATATTAACTCAACTGTCCATAAGAACCATGCGCCAACATGGGATTAAACGGATCATACTTTTTAGATGATCACGTAAAGTTAAGCTAGTGGATCCACTTAGAAAAGTTAGCTTCCTATATCGATGGCAAGGTATAGGATGGTCCTT